GCTCTTTTACATTTTAATTAATTACTTTTGTATTGAAAATTCATATTTTGATAATTCGTTGGAAACTAAAGATCTGTGATTAATTTTATTTTTTGTATTGTACCATGGTCATTTAAAAAGAGTGAAAAACTAAGTGAAAAATAAAAATGAGAATAATAAAAATATAATTCCACTCAATTTTGTAAAAACAGTTTTGACATTTGCTATAATTGGTCTTGTTAATTATTTTCTTATGACTTATTACTACTCGTATAAATGGTGACAGCATACTTGAACAAAAAAATAGTATACATTTTCACACTTGATAAATTCTAATATCATTAAGGAACTTAAAATACTTAAAATGGTAATTGATATATCAATTATCAATAAAAAATAATATTCAATAGTACAATATAGATTATTTAAATAACAGATGCAATACAATAATTTTATCATAATCTTTGTTTATGAGCAAAACTAGAACCAAAAAATCACCTATGAACGAAGACGATTTTAAAATTCAACTAAAGAGTGCATCTCTAAAGAGATATGAAAGTATCAGATCTAAATGTTAAAATTAATAAGTTAGAAGACGAAAACAAGTCGTTAAATAAAATAAAGTTGGATCGAACCAATGGTTTGTATTGTAGCACTTTTCTCTTCAAAATGAATTTTGTATTGTAGCCCTTTTAAAAACAATCTATGCATACCTTCTTCACCAGTGATTCCCAAAGTTCCACCAAGGGACATGCTACAAAATAACATGAATTTAATTAAATAAGTATTAAGAGGGTATATCAAAAATTCAAAAACACGACAAGAGGTCTACGAGGAAAAAAGTTTGGGAGCCTTTGTTCTACACTATTCAAATTATTTTCATTCTTATACAAAACTATTTCAAGCATTGCATACATCTGCCGGCAAATGTCCTCTTTAACATGTGCGCATATAATATTTGCATTCCGTTAACTTGTTCAATAAACTAAAACTCATGAGTTGCTTAAAATCGTAAATGGAACTAAAAAGAAAAAAAAATTGACCCAAGTTTACAACAAATATAAAAAAAGATTTTAGTATAATAAACCGGAAATTGTTTAAATGTGAATAAAAAATAGAAAAATTGAAGTTTTAATTATCAAAAAAGAGATGGCGCTTTGAGAAAAAACTCGATAAATTTCCAAGTCCTGAATGTGCGTATAGCTATCCTTAACAAGAATAATTAATAGAAATGTATGTATACCTAGAATAAAAATGATAATTGCCAGTATGTTATTAGATTAATTAAGATTTGAATAGAATAATTTTAATTATTGAGAAAAATTATTACAAAAAAATTTATATTGAAAATAATTTAAAAACTATTTTAATTATTTCTATTCTATAGTTACATAGTACTTGGCTGCATAAACTCTGATGAGTAATATATGTATTAAAAATTACCGTAAATAAAAGTTTCCATATAAATTTAATATTTATTTAATTCATTAATATCTGAAAAGATTATAATATAACCAATGTATAGAACCGAATTCTACTTCTGAGAATTCGGTTTCAAAGAATGATCGTATTTAATTATAAATGCATTCTAAAATCCTTTATATGCAAAAGGGATTTTTAATTTTTAAAAGCCTTTTCACACATAATTTACAAATCTGTAGAAACTGAATATTTTAATTTTACAGGTTTTGTAACAGTATTCGAGAGTAACTCTTTAATATCCAACAATTTTCTATTATTTAAATTAGAACATCTTCTAATTAATAATATTTTTACAGTATAGGTATAAAAAGTTTAAAAATTCTTTTAGAACTTTAAGCGCAAACTATCTTTTTCTTATCTTAGTCTTGTATTTTCGTAGAATTTGCAGTTTGAGTTTATAGAATGTGCATTATAATAAGCGCTAACTTAGAACTGAATTATTGGAAATTCCCAAACTTAATCATAATTGCAAGCCAACAAATCGAATATACACAAATCCATTCATGTAGTAGTAAGATTCGTTTACATGTAGTAGTAAGAAGTTTTTCATTTTAAAATCTATAATTTTTTGTTTTAAAATTTTTTATCTTTTCTTTTACATTAGGTAGTAAGTGTTGGATATGTTAGTGATAAACAGTAAAAAAAAGTTTCAAATTTCGTTAACGCAGCGGTTTTCTATTTAGAAAGAATTTTTAATTTCTACAAATATTTTAAGAGTGCGCAATAAATGATCTGATTTTGATTGAATTGATTTTGTAGTTAGAGAGAGAAAGAAAAAGAAAAAGAGAGAGAGAGAAGAAAGAGAAGAATCGAATGTGTATAACGTTAACGCATTGTCAATATTATTTACAGAAGTATATATTATACCCAACATTGTACACAAAAATGAAGTTAGACCTGAAATAGTAAAATTTGTATATGAAAAAGAATAATCGAAAATGATCACTTTGAATCTCGTTATGAGAGAAAGCTGTTGAGCTGTTTTCTCATGAGGGGAAGCTGTTGAGCTGTTCTCTTATGAGGGGAAGTTGTTGAGCTGTATATGACTAACAAAGTGAATACTGTCTTTATACAAAAAACGAGAAAAAAAATAGAGTTGACCTTGTCAACTCTGTGATACCCGTACGAATTTGTTATCCTATGTACGAATAACTAATGTGCCATTTAACTATGGGGCAGACTATAACTTTAAGTTGCCGTGTTATCACATTAATTTATGCAAAATTTCAGTACTATGTGTTTTTCAAAATACTGGTTGTGCCAAACTACTATTGAAGTTGTATGGCAGCTACCAGAAAGAGCCCAGAAATTTTAGCGAATTTTATCAAGCACATCGGCCCTACTAATATATTCGTTTGTGTGAAATTTCAATACCATAGCTTTAATAGTTTCTGAAATATAGCCAAATAATTTTTGAAGTTGTATGGCAGGTACCAGAAGGAGCCAAGTAATTTCAACGACTTTTATGTGGCATATTGGCCCTACTAATATATTTGTTTGTGTGAAATTTCAATACCATACCTTTTATAGTTTCTGAGATATAGCCAAATAAATTTTGAAGTTGTATGGCAGCTACCCGAACCGGTACCCCGATCATGTCCAATTTAAATAGGGTTCTGGCACTTACTACAATAAATCATTTGTGAAAATTTGGTGAACTTAGCTCAATTACTTTTTGAGTTATCGTTGGGACGGACGGACGGACGGACGGACGGACAGACAAAGCTAAATCAACTCAGAATTTGATGCTGATCAAAATCATACACTTGAGTCTATATCTAACACCGTTATTTCTTAGCGTTACAAACGGTAAGGCAAATTTAGTATACCCTTCGAACATACGTTCGTACGGGTATAAAAATATCTGCTTCAAGACAAGTCAATGCGTGCTGTGGTTATATTACAGTTCAATTTGAATTAAAACGCCTAGATTATAAAGAGAACCTATATAGATTCCTATATGGAATATTGTACAACATGCCTCTGAAGTATTACTAAAATATATAAGTATGACACTGGATATAATATAAATTATTATCACTTTATATTATTATATTATTTATCTTGATTACACTTACCTTTTCCATATGCTTATAATAAAGACACTTGATATCTCCTATATTTGATATTATAGATCCTTTCTTATAAATAATGTCATACAGCGGTAATGACGCCAAACATATACTTAAATATTATATACTTTTTAATTAAATAAATTTTATAATATGTCCGCATATATGGTCACTCTAAAAAAGAAATTTCTGCATGCAAATTTTTGTTGTTTTTTTTTGTTCTTGTATTGAACTATTAATTTTGCAAATGTTTCTTTTTTATGCTACCAGAACAGATTTTTTCTCTTTAATTTTTATTGCTCTGATTTGATTTTTATTGTTCTCATATTTCTGACATTATCGATGAATTAAATACAGCCATTTAAATAAGCTTCTCTACATAAATTCGATTTACATAAGAATTTCTTGATCAGTTTCATTTAATCATTTGTTGTGGTAACACACAAAGTGTTTTATAAAATCATGAAATTGGTATTTTTTATTAAAAATTAAATTCAAATTATTTTTTAATCATTTCAAGTTACATTAATAATATAATTAAAAATATATAAAAATTAAAAAAAGTAATTAGTTTTGGAAAATTTATTAATAAAATATTTTCAATTTTTAAATAAGAAAATTTAAATTAAAATTTTTTTAATTGCAAATCATCATGTTTAATTATGCTTTTAAATTTTAATTTTCATTTGTTTCAAGTTCGAAGAAAAGCCTACTTGCATGATAGTTTTGTACTTATTATTACTTTTTACTTTTGTAATATGTGTGGTAAGAAAATTAATGATATTATTCTGGAAGTTCCTATATACAATTATATAATGAAGAATTAAAAATTTTTTACAAGATAAACGGCTACAATTGAGTCCTACATGGATGTAATTCGTTCCTAATGTAATTTTTTTCTATAACATATAAAATATTGTTGTTGTACTTCGAGTTTTTATAATTATAAAGTGGTGCTTCCAAAATAATTTTAATTTAATTTTTAAATTTTGAAAAGTTCAAATTTTTTGTTTTATTAATTTTCAATGTTGTAATTTCATTTTAAATTCAGAGCCTGGATTTCAAAACAAAGATTTACTGTTAAATTTCTTTAACTTTATACCATTTTGCTATGTTTTTCAATATTTTATTTAAATTAATTAAGAAATTTTCGGATTAAATTAAGAAAATTAATTTCGCGACATGTGTACCTTAAATATTGTCCAGTAGGTCAGACTTACGTTTTAAAGTGGACTTTCATTTTTTTCTTGTGTATAAATTCTGCGTCATAAAATTATTTAAATATTTAGTAAAAATTAATTTTATAAATTCTTTTTTGTTTTGGGTTTTTTTAAAGGTTAAGAAATTTAATTAAAAAAATTTAAGATCTTTTTAATTTTTTTTAAAATTAGAACTTTTTTCAATATATTTTTAACTTCTTTTTTTATTTTTTTCATTTTTTGACAAATTTATACAGATAAAGAAAAAGAGAAAAAAACAGCGAAAAGTGTGGTGTCGTCGCCACATTTTTCGCAAAACTTAATATTTAAAAAATAAATAGTCAAAATGTTGTTGTGTTAACAAAGTCCTCGGATAGTCCTAAAAAATTGAAATCATCAACACAACATGTAAGTATCAAACAATTTTTTTAATGAACTATAATTAATTTTTTAAATATTTTTTTTTACTTTTTCATGAAACTGCAGTCATCTTCTTTAAAATGTCCGTCCAATCATTATTTTAAAGAAGAATTTGGGGTTCAAATTAATTTATGTGAAACATCTATAATTAAATTAATTTTGGAAAAAAAAATTGCGAAAAAAAAAGCGAATGTACCAAAAATAAAAGGTAAATAAAATTTTTTCTATCAAAATTTATTGTACATACATAGTTTAGCGAATTTATTATTGTACATACATAGTTTATTGAATTCAATAATTGTAATGAGTAAAAACTATGGTTTTATTCAAGTTTTGGGAAATTCTTAATTTAAATTTCAAAATTATTTTATGCTATGAGAAGAAGATCTAAAAAATTAAGAAGTTATTGAACTCTTAAGTACGTGAATATTTGAAAATTTATAATTATGCATTGTAGGGTTAAATTATTTTGCTATTATATTGCATATACACATATAGACATAAATGTTTGTAAACTTTTTTTTTAAAACGTATTTATATTAAATCGAAAGTATTCAAATTATTTTTAAAATTTATTAACGAAAATATTAAATTTATAAATTTTTTAATAAATTTTTATGTGAGATATGTACAATATATATGTGTGTTAAGATAAATAATCTATTATGTACAATATAATTTACTCTCCTATAACATATACATACTATATATTTTGTTTAAAATATGTGAAAATATTAAAGAGATGGAAAATATTTAAAAAAAATTTTGTATGGATAAAATGTTTCAAATAATTCAAACAGAATAAAATTTAAATACGCCTAATCCTTACTAACTTTTTCACCACCTTCCTTTTTGTCCGCGATACTTATATCCCGGATATTATGGAATTAATTAAATAGGTATACGAAAACACAGTCGAATATTGTGCAGTTATCAGTTTCCCATTTGATAGGAAATATCAAATGTGGGCAAAAATTCAATGCGTATTGTAAATAAGTTTATAGAATTTAATTTATATATTAAATATTTTTACTATACTCGTATTTACACATATTTTAAAATTATTAGTAAAAAAAAATGATTTTAATTAAATTTATATTTATTTTCTGTTTATTTCCGCAATTTATGAAAAATTTAATTTATCTTTCCTATATTATCCACGAGAATATTGCTTATATTTATTTACTGTGATCCTTACTAACTCTCTACCATTTCCTTTTCCTTCTTCTTTGGAAATATATCCCGATTTGGCTAATTCGCAATCTGATAGCCGCAATTTATGCGTCGAAAATGAAGATTGTTTTTAGCTTATTCGTTACAATATGTTAGTGCTTGCATGATGTAGTTGATAGTTGGCCTTAAGCAATTCTTCTGATAACAATCTTAGTAATAATAATAATTTATATATTTTTTTTTTTTTACCATACGCGCAGCTATTCAACATTTTGTTTTAGTTATGTTACATTCATATTAAAAATTTATATTTATCAAGCAACGATTTTTTTAATTTTAAGAACATTCAAAATATTCTTTACAGCACACCATGCTTAGAGATATAAAACAAACTATGTAATATTGTATAATCACAATGGGCTTTCTGATCATTATATAATTATCCAATTTTTTAGTATTTAAGAGTATATATTTTATTTGTTTTCTTAATTTTTTGTTCATTTAATTGCTACAATACATAGAAGTTCAATAAAAAAAATGGCGATCCAACAACAACAAGATTGCCGTAAAAAAAATAGTTTTTTATTATATGTACCTAATAAATAATAATTCTAAATATTTTTTACAGTAAAGTTTCTACATAATAAACACAATTGCGTATAAAGAGTTTCATTGTGCTTTATTTGTTAATCAGGTATGCTTCGTTCGTTCATAAAATGTAATCAGAGTTGTGAAAACTCAAATACCCGAAAAAAACCAGTATTTCATACTTTTAGGAAATTTTTCAAGTACCAGTACCAGTACCGTTTACTAGTTATTGAAAAGTATTTTTCTACTAGGTACTGAAAAGTACTGGTTGCATCAGTTTATTTACAGGAATACAATAAGCAGTAAATGTAAGAACCGGTAATTTATATTAGAAAATGATATACATATAATTGAATAATTTTTTGATTAATGTCTGGGACCAAATTAATTTGTAACAAAGGAGAATAGCAATTAGAGTACCTAAATCGAATTTTTAATTAAAAATTACTTATTAAAAATCAAATTACAAGTAAACAAAATTTTATTTTCAACGCTTTTAAGTTTTAATTAAAATTTAATCTGAAAATAATTTGTTCTTCTGTTAAGCTTTCCAGTGTTATTCTATTAGCTGTTAGTGTTACTCTCTTAACTTCCCGTTCTTCTGTTAATTCACATTCGTCGTTTAATTTATATTAATTTGCTTGAATATTAATTTAATTTTCGGAAAATTAAATTAACCCTTAAGGTTTCAAAAAGTTTAAAGAATTAAAAATTGTTAAAGGGAGAAAAATTAGGGCCACGTTGTTTGTCAGACATTTTCTTTTCTTTTTTAGTTTTATTCGAAATTTTTGAAATTGAGTTAATTTAATGAATTTAATTTAATGAGAATACAAAATGTTAAAGAATTAATAACAACAAAAGCAGAAGTTAACAATTATAAATATTGCTTTTCAAAATTTAATGCAATTTTTTAATTGTTTACCAAATGATTGATTCAAAAATTGGATTGAAATTCAAAATTTGGATGGGTTCTTATATTCTTAATAAAGACGAATTATATTGTTTTGATTTCATTATATGCACATGCATTTTGATACTTCATGCAATGAACTTATTGGTATTAATCTTCTATACATACATTCCTCTTTTTGCTCTTTTACATTTTAATTAATTACTTTTGTATTGAAAATTCATATTTTGATAATTCGTTGGAAACTAAAGATCTGTGATTAATTTTATTTTTTGTATTGTACCATGGTCATTTAAAAAGAGTGAAAAACTAAGTGAAAAATAAAAATGAGAATAACAAAAATATAATTCCACTCAATTTTGTAAAAACAGTTTTGACATTTGCTATAATTGGTCTTGTTAATTATTTTCTTATGACTTATTACTACTCGTATAAATGGTGACAGCATACTTGAACAAAAAAATAGTATACATTTTCACACTTGATAAATTCTAATATCATTAAGGAACTTAAAATACTTAAAATGGTAATTGATATATCAATTATCAATAAAAAATAATATTCAATAGTACAATATAGATTATTTAAATAACAGATGCAATACAATAATTTTATCATAATCTTTGTTTATGAGCAAAACTAGAACCAAAAAATCACCTATGAACGAAGACGATTTTAAAATTCAACTAAAGAGTGCATCTCTAAAGAGATATGAAAGTATCAGTGTTTTATATAAATGCTAAATGCGATGATCTAAATGTTAAAATTAATAAGTTAGAAGACGAAAACAAGTCGTTAAATAAAATAAAGTTGGATCGAACCAATGGTTTGTATTGTAGCACTTTTCTCTTCAAAATGAATTTTGTATTGTAGCCCTTTTAAAAACAATCTATGCATACCTTCTTCACCAGTGATTCCCAAAGTTAACCCAAGGGACATGCTACAAAATAACATGAATTTAATTAAATAAGTATTAAGAGGGTATATCAAAAATTCAAAAACACGACAAGAGGTCTACGAGGAAAAAAGTTTGGGAGCCTTTGTTCTACACTATTCAAATTATTTTCATTCTTATACAAAACTATTTCAAGGATTGCATACATTTAGGATGAACAATTTATGCAATCTTTGAGATAAGGAAAACAAAAATAAAAAGGCGTTAACATAATGCTCGATTTTTTATGGCATTGAACTTACCATTAGCTTTCTGAATTTACAGAAATTTGGAAAAACTTAGAGTTTTGGAAATAGAAGGTGCAAGTTTGGGAAGGCGGTGGCGAAATGAACTATTTATTAGTGTCTAACAGCTGTTAAAATTTCAGACTTTAACAACCTGGGGTCTGGAAGAAAAACACTTCAAAAATTTGAAAAAAAACGGATTTTAGATAACGGCCATTTTCTTTTTTTTGGCTGCCGGCAAATGTCCTCTTTAACATGTGCGCATATAATATTTGCATTCCGTTAACTTGTTCAATAAACTAAAACTCATGAGTTGCTTAAAATCGTAAATGGAACTAAAAAGAAAAAAAAAATTGACCCAAGTTTACAACAAATATAAAAAAAGATTTTAGTATAATAAACCGGAAATTGTTTAAATGTGAATAAAAAATAGAAAAATTGAAGTTTTAATTATCAAAAAAGAGATGGCGCTTTGAGAAAAAACTCGATAAATTTCCAAGTCCTGAATGTGCGTATAGCTATCCTTAACAAGAATAATTAATAGAAATGTATGTATACCTAGAATAAAAATGATAATTGCCAGTATGTTATTAGATTAATTAAGATTTGAATAGAATAATTTTAATTATTGAGAAAAATTATTACAAAAAATTTTATATTGAAAATAATTTAAAAACTATTTTAATTATTTCTATTCTATAGTTACATAGTACTTGGCTGCATAAACTCTGATGAGTAATATATGTATTAAAAATTACCGTAAATATAAGTTTCCATATAAATTTAATATTTATTTAATTTATTAATATCTGAAAAGATTATAATATAACTAATGTATTGAACCGAATTCTGGTTCTGAGAATTCGGTTTCAAAGTATGATCATATTTAATTATAAATGCATTCTAAAATCCTTTATATGCAAAAGGGATTTTTAATTTTTAAAAGCCTTTTCACACATAACTTACAAATCTGTAGAAACTGAATATTTTAATTTTACAGGTTTTGTAACAGTATTCGAGAGTAACTCTTTAATATCCAACAATTTTCTATTATTTAAATTAGAACATCTTCTAATTAATAATATTTTTACAGTATAGGTATAAAAAGTTTAAAAATTCTTTTAGAACTTTAAGCGTAAACTATCTTTTTCTTATCTAGTCTTTCTTTTCGTAGAATTTGCAATTCTGGTTTATAGAATGTGCATTATAATAAGCGCTAACTTAGAACTGAATTATTGGAAATCCCCAAATAATCATAATTGCAAGCCAACAGATCGAATATACACAAATCCATTCATGTAGTAGTAAGATTCGTTTACATGTAGTAGTAAGAAGTTTTTCATTTTAAAATCTATAATTTTTTGTTTTAAAATTTTTTATCTCTTCTTTTACATTAGGTAGTAAGTGTTGGATATGTTAGTGATAAACAGTAAAAAAAAGTTTCAAATTTCGTTAACGCAGCGGTTTTCTATTTAGAAAGAATTTTTAATTTCTACAAATATTTTAAGAGTGCGCAATAAATGATCTGATTTTGATTGAATTGATTTTGTAGTTAGAGAGAGAAAGAAAAAGAAAAAGAGAGAGAGAGAAGAAAGAGAAGAATCGAATGTGTATAACGTTAACGCATTGTCAATATTATTTACAGAAGCATTTATTATACCCAACATTGTACACAAAAATGAAGTTAGACCTGAAATAGTAAAATTTGTATATGAAAAAGGATAATCGAAAATGATCCTTTTGAATCTCGTTATGAGAGAAAGCTGTTGAGCTGTTTCTCATGAGGGGAAGCTGTTGAGCTGTTCTCTTATGAGGGGAAGTTGTTGAGCTGTATGTGACTAACAAAGTGAATACTGTCTTTCTACAAAAAAAAAATATCTGCTTCAAGACAAGTCAATGCGTGCTGTGGTTATATTACAGTTCAATTTGAATTAAAACGCCTAGATTATAAAGAGAACCTATATAGATTCCTATATGGATTATTGTACAACATGCCTCTGAAGTATAACTAAAATATATAATATAAATTATTATCACTTTATATTATTATATTATTTATCTTGATTACACTTACCTTTTCCATATGCTTATAATAAAAACACTTGATATCTCCTATATTTGATATTATAGATCCTTTCTTATAAATAATGTCATACAGCGGTAATGACGCCAAACATATACTTAAATATTATATACTTTTTAATTAAATAAATTTTATAATATGTCCGCATATATGGTCACTCTAAAAAGGAAATTTCTGCATGCAAATTTTTGTTGTTTTTTTTTGTTCTTGTATTGAACTATTAATTTTGCAAATGTTTCTTTTTTATGCTACCAGAACAGATTTTTTCTCTTTAATTTTTATTGCTCTGATTTGATTTTTATTGTTCTCATATTTCTGACATTATCGATGAATTAAATACAGCCATTTAAATAAGCTTCTCTATATAAATTCGATTTACATAAGAATTTCTTCATCAGTTTCATTTAATCAGTTGTTGTGGTAACACACACAGTGTTTTATAAAACCATGAAATTGGTATGTTTTATTAAAAATTAAATTCAAATTATTTTTTAATCATTTCAAGTTACATTAATAATATAATTAAAAATATATAAAAATTAAAAAAAATAATTAGTTTTGGAAAATTTATTAATAAAATATTTTCAATTTTTAAATAAGAAAATTTAAATTAAATTTTTTTTAATTGCAAATCATCATGTTTAATCATGCTTTTAAATTTTAATTTTCATTTGTTTC